ATACACAGAATCCAACTCATCTTTGATTTGCGTAGGCGTATTGCCTTTCAAAAACAAATATTTAATGACAGCTCGATACTCGATTTTGTCCATTTTCACAAAAACACTCACATCAACTTACTCAAACGACTGTTACATAACAACTGCGAGTCCAAAATGGCTGAAACTTCGGTGAGTAACTGTCAACAGATGAACAACGAAATTCACTAGCTTTTATTTACAAGTGCTGCTATCTTCACGTTGAGGTCGGAAACTTTTCAGACCACCCTCGTACAACGAGATACGAGCTTGACACTTTTTATGCGCGGGGTAACATAGAAAGAAAGCGACAGAGTAATTTGGGAAAGACACTTCGTTCCGGGACGGTCTGTCCGTTGTTGTTGGAGATGTATTTACAAGAAACCTGGACGACCTGCATGGTCGAGACAGGCATGACCGTAATGCACGGGCGGTACTCGAAGAAATGCATACCTGGAGGAGGGGTTTGTCGGTCACCATCGACGCTGGAATTCGAATCGTGTAGAACTTTTGCTCGAAGTCGGGTCTATGGTCGTTAATGTCCGCGACCTCAATGACGACCCTCGTGGTTGACGACAAAGGCGGCTTGCCATCGTCTCTTACTGTCACCTGAAAGCATGAAATTATCAATCACAGCACGGGACAGCGTAATACATCACGAATTGCATACTTGTCACGTGGAATCGTAAAGCTAGACGTTACAACCGAGCCAACATTTGACCGATCTGTGACTGTCAGCTATTGTGTAACTATGAACTAAGAATCCATCTTAATATCTATCTGAGAATCTATTTCAATCCAAACGGACAAGTGTACATTTATTAGTCGCAGCAACTTTATTAGTCGGTTTGCAAAACTTGCGTCCCTTATGAGTATATCATATGTCATTCGTATTTACTATGACTTAGAATGACGAAAAAGAGGAATACAAAAAGAATGATTAAAATTTGCTCAAAACAATATGTCATGGGAAATCAGTGTGATAAGAAAATCTAAATGTGATTTTGAATAAATTTGTAGCTGTATTAATACCAGAGATTTATACAATTGTATGATGTAAATGTAATGATTAATTTAATGCACGTATATTTGCCTCATATATGTAATTAACGTAGACGTAGACGTGTAAAATTTTCATCATAGATTTTGTGTATTTATGTGTATCTCACATGATAATTATGAAAATCTAATTTATGAAAAGCTTTTAGATACATAGATGGAGCATACAATGGAAACATAAAGAAAGAATTGAAACAACATAAAACATTAAATTACGTAATTATGTCTCGCTGTAATAAATGGAAGATTATAAATGTCTACGATGTGAGTTTTTTTTGTTTCGCTCGGATTGAAACCGTGAGATTTTTTAATTATAAATTTATATTTAGCTCAAGAGAAAAATAATTTTCTTTCTGAGTGGTAAAATTCATCGGCCATATGGAAAAAGATCACGCTCTCGTTAGAACAGTTCTCGACTGTGATTTACTTAAGACTTTTCTACAGAGACATCGACGAGCAGCTGATCCTTTGATAGGGACGGTCAAGTTACAATGTTGAGAGCCGTTTGCACTCGAGCGCGTCGCCGCAGAAGGGAGAGGTGTAAACTTCGAGGCGTGAACATACTACATGCTGTGTGCTATGTTTGTGTCACCAATCGGCGGCAAGAACTGGCGAGGGACCACACGACAACTTTGGAACTTTGAATGCCTGCATGTCTATGAAGAATTGATGCACGAACATGAAATCAGCGCAATTCTTCTCGATATTTCGCGCTGAACTCATTTCGTCGTTCATAACATTCTTAACATAACATGCTCTCTTAAAATGAATCAGTGAAACAGTGAATATACATTGATTTGCAGTTATAAATGTTGCACTGAAAGTGTTAAGTGTTTTTAATAATTGATATCAGTGACTATTCACTGATTCACTTTAAGAGAGTGTGTTGTATTACATGTTTATGACATGTGGTACGCGCGATATATTATTGTAAACTCATTTGCAAAATAATTTCAACACTTATTTTCGACACATTTCGAACCGTATCCGCGACGCCCAATAGAAAAATTCACCTGATGAAAATTGTTCAAAAATAATTTGATTTCAAAGTGCTATTAAATATTCAAACATGATACATCTGTTTGGTAATTACCGTCATTATGTATTAACGCATTAAGATGCCATACTTGAAAACTATATCGAAAAATACTGATATTCTTCTGCGAAGTTTACATCATATTGATTGCACAGAATGCTTTCATATATTGCAAATACGTGCAATAATGAATTGCAGCATTGGAGTTAAATATATGTTAAAAAACGATAAAAAATTTCAAAGTTGATATTTCGGGTGTGAATTAGATTGTCAAACACGAGTTTGCTCTCCTTAGAAAAATTTCAAAGAATATTGCTGTTCATCTGATTTTAGAAGCTTAAAAATATCGGAAAAGTTTGCAGAAAGATCTCTATATATGATTAGATTTTCCGCTAAATATGGTAAAATAAATCTTCTTAAAGAGATGTTGAAGTCGATGACGAACAATGTCGATAACGCAGAGATGATCGTCACTAACACAGTCACGCTATCCTTCTCGTATTTCGAGTATGTACATGTAGATCTTATGTAAATACTTTGTTTTACCATATTCAGCGGAAAACCTAACCATGCATGTGAAGAAATCTTTCTGCAAACTTTTCGGATATTCTTAAGAGCTCCTGAATTCGAATACGGCACAGCATTTAAATGGAACGTACAGCAATGCTCAACATTTTTCTGTTTGGAGCATTCACACTTTTGGTACAAGTCACGGAACTTTTGGATTAGGCAAATATTACGCTGACAGCTTGAGATTTTACATTAAAAAAGATTCTTTTTATTTACGTCACATATTGAGCAATGCTCCTATTTATTTTTGCTCCTATTTATTTATTCTTTTTATTTACGTCACATATTGAGCAATGCTCCTATTTATTTTTGCACGTACTTTCACTGCGTAAAAGCATTTGTAACTTTATACAACCAGTACGACGTAAATTTTAAAGAAAAATATCAGTATTCTGTCGATAAAGTTTTCAGCATCGCCTTAAGGGAGTACACATGAACAAAACAACACACATTTACATAAGTTCTGTACATATAGAATTTACGTAAATATGCGCTGTTTTGTTTTACCATATGTAGGGGAAAACTTAACCACACATGTGTAGAAATCATTCTGCAAACCGATATTTTTAAGTTTCTGAATTCAGTTACGAAGTAAAAACAGCAATGTTCTTCAAAATTTTTCTTTTTGGAGAATTCATATTTTCAGCATGAACAAGCTATGAAACTCTTGGATCAGGTAAATATTACGCTAACTGAGAGTTTGCAATTTTAAAGAGTTTGCAATTTTTAAGAGAGTTTGCAATGTATAAAATTTTTTTCGTTTACGTTACATATTGAGTAATGCTCTTGTTTTGCACGTACTTTTACTATGTAACAGCATTTGTAATTCTGTACAACCAATACGACTTTGCAGAAAAATGTTAGTATTTTGTAGGTAAAGTTTTTAGCATCCCCTTAACGTTAGCCTGTATTCAAAGATGTCGAAATATGTTTATATACGAGAATTCAGATTCAGTCGGCAGTTCTTATCATATAAAGCATAAAGTTTAGCGTGTATTTTGTACAGAAATTTCCATGTAATTCCCCATGTTATATGAATGATACGCATATAATTTCGAAACATTATACAACTAACGTTGTACTATATGAGAAATTCATTTTTGGCTGACATACGAATGGCTGCGAATAATTAGAAATCAGACTTTGGTGGTGTGTGAGGGGAGAGTTTAAATTACTAGACTGAAATAATTAAAATTGAAAAAGGATGTAAAAGAGGCCGTATAGAAAAAGGTCGTATAGAAGAAAAATATCAAATAAGTGTTACGAAACATCAACAGGCATTATATTAATATTACATAAACGCGTTAAACTTTGAATCTCCTATATTTACACATGCATTTTGATAACACGAAGAAAAAGTGCGGAACTAACTATTTTCTCTCATAAATATGGAAACGTTATTAATTTTAAAGCATTACGCGCGTATTTACGGGCTACATCGCCGAAATGGATTTAGCGATAACCGAATATTGAAAAGCCAGCACCGGTAATTTCGGTGAATAAACGAGTTAATGCCGATTCTGATTAATTCATGGTTAAATTAATACAGATGCCAGAGCCATCGACAAATCAAATCACAGCATCAACATATCGTTGACTCGATTTATTAGTATCTCGTATGAAAGCATACGATCAGAGCGCTCTACTACATAAAATTTCAATCTCTCGTATCGAGGCGTTCATTAATATACAAAATCCGTCTGCGTTCTCATTTTCTCGTTTCGCAGCGGGTCCTCGTATGCACGTGAATTCGATAACTATCGTCAAGTACTATCGTACTGCAAATGCGCACAAATCCTCATTAAATTATTCGCAGTCGCACAAAAACGTCTCCATACGTCGCGGGAATGTCCGCCGTCCGCATCCGCGATTATCAATCGCGAAAGAAGTGCTGGATCGCCAGCGAAAATGGAAAGGGACGGTAGGTAAGTGCGCAGGACATATACCTAGTAGATATTCCCGGGTAACGCGATATCTCTCCCCAGATTTCCCGTCGCTACGACTTTTCCTGCGGCCGCCGCCCTTTTTCCCGCTTACTGCAGTCGTTGTCTTATCGCGCACGTTTCTACCTTCTTTCTTGCCGTCCTGCGAAATCCAGGACTTTCATGCACGAATATCGCACGTACGATCTGTGCAGTCGGTTGTGCTGACCGGAAGAGGAGGGGGCAGGTGGAGTAGCAGCTTCTGCTCATAAAGCCGAGTGTCGCCGCATCCTGAAGACGACGTCGCAAAGCTGAGAGATCCCGCTCTTCGTGTTCGCGCCGTCGTCGACGGGACTCACGCGCGAACAGGGATCGAAAAGCATCAAGCTTGACGATTTCGAATTTAGACACAAACGAGACAAAGGCGGTCCCTTTGTGCTGGCATGTGTAAGGCTCCTTTCAGCCGCGCTCTTTAAATATCACGGCATTAATATAGATGTATAACGCGGCGTGGAGGTGCGACTTACCGCGATGCGCCACTGAAAGATACGTCATCGAGTTACCGTTTCGGTCCAGACAAATAGGTTTATAATTAACTTTTGTGCAGGAGACGCGCGAATACTGAGAACGCGCCGGAGTTCACGTAATTTTAGCTGCACGTTGTAATTAGTCTTTTCGGCGAAGCGGTCGCATCTGGCATTAGACTGTTGTATTTTTGATTCTTGGTTTATTTTCGCTCGTATCCATAAATCCTCGCAACGCGTGCCTCGTCCCAGTTTCGGGGGGCATTTTCTCTATTCCATTCTATTTTGTTCTATAGATAGACTTTCGGTCGCCTTTCAATCGACCTTTCGCGTTGCTAGACAGGTGTGCGTTTTGGCAGCAATTTTACTAATTGATTCATATAGATTGCACCCTTCATGAGTGGTTCATATATGATACGTATATTCATAGAATATTCATAGAAGGATGAAATAAAAATATGAAAGAGATACGATTTGCTTCAACATAAAATGTAAAAT